CTACGATCAGCATTCATTATAGGGTATATACATACAAAATTTCAGCTGTCTAGCTCTTATTATGAGTGAAGTTCAGGGGGGTTCGGGACTTTTGGCCAGCACTGTATTTATTTAATAACTAAAATAAATTTTAGGGTGCTCGTGCATGAACTGGATCATTTATTGGTGATGGTGATGATCATAGTTTATATACACATCAAGAAGAAAGTTTATATGTTGATTTAACACTTGTTCGTTTGGGTTTATTACGTTTAAATTTTTTAATGGAATCATGTCCATCTGGTTCATTACCTGATTCACATTTTTTAAATAGTCTTCTTATATTAGTTCGATTATTTTTTTATACTTTAAAATAAAATTCTTTTGTTTCTTTTTTTTAAGGATTCACCAGTTATAGCTAAAGCTGCATATCTTGTTGAATGTGCACATTTTGTTCGTTGTTGTTCATTAGGACAATGGCCTGAATAGATGAAAATAAATATGACAACATCTCGTCCACATGAATCATTTGGTGCGCGTACAACTGGTAATCTGAATGCAAGATTAAATAAATTATATTAAGCAGCTGCAGCAAGAATGTTTTATATACGGAGTGAAGTAAGTTATTTAAATTTTGAAAGAATATTGTGTTTTTATTGTTAATAAATTTCGCATTAGAAGGCTCTTTCATCACAAATGGAAACTATATTAGACAATGAGGAAAAACAACAACAAATAACAACAGATAATACTAATGCAATAGGAGGAGGAAATTTTTGGAATAGTGATGAAACATATGAAGATTATTATAATGAAGGTAGACATACCGTAGCAGACAAAATCGATAAAAACAAACGCATTTTTACGGGTTCAAAACCGCGCAGTTTAACGCGTTTTTACGATTGAAAAGCGCACATTTTTACGCGTGAAAAATGCGTTTTTCGGTCAAAAGCAACAAAAAAACGCGTTTTTAAACCGTTAAAATGTGCGCTTTTCAATCGTAAAAACGCGTTTTTTTATCGATTTTGTCTGTCTGGGTGTATGAATTTGTGTCTTGCATGTTGCTATTGTTGTATTTGTCAGCTTTATGTCTATATTTATATTAAAAATAAGTGTTTTATCTAGATTTTCGGGAGGACGTGGTCCTTCCGATTGATAAAACATTTCTATTTGAATAGTATTAAAATAAACCTGTTGTTTTTAATTTTAGCAATTGTTAAGCGTAGTGGCCATGATTGTCCATATTCATTACGTCTTATGGCATGTTTACTTCTTTATGAAATAACATCATTTTTATGTGAAACATATGATACATTACCTAAATTATCAACAATTTCTTCAACAAACGTTAATTTTCGTCAGCAACAACGTTCAACAAATCAAACAACAAGTCCACCACAAACTATTGTTGAAACATCATCAACATTAACTGATAAACGTTCAAGTGATTGTATACGTATGGGTAGTATTGTTTCACAAATATCAAATAGAAGTTCTGTATCAGTATCAAGTGAACATCCAGCTCGTATGAATTTTCTTTTTATATTTTAATTTATTTATTTATTTCTTCTAAAATAAATTAGTTTCGCCACAAGCATCATCAACAACAGCTCCACCTATTTTAAATACAGTACCAGCAACTATAATTAATATGAGTTCAACATTACCTAATTAACGGCATATTAGTTTTGCTGTTAATAAAGAAAATGAATTTAGTGAAAGACTCCTTTTTAAATCGTTAAAATGTGCGCTTTTCAATCGTAAAAACCCGTTAAACTGCGCGGTTTTGAACTCGTAAAAATGCATTTTTTTATCGGTTTTGTCTGCTATGGTAATGAAGAATTATCTGCATGTGCTGGTAAAAAAACCTACAAACTCTTTTTTTTTTAATTTTATTCTTTTTTTTGTATTGTATAAAATACAAAAAAAAATTATTTATCTTATTTATTTATATATATAATACTGATCAATTTATGCTAGATCTTTTATTACAACTGATATACATAAACGTTTACAATCATGTCTAATTTAAAAGAAAGAATTAATGAAAATGTAAATGTTCCACAAGGTGAAACAGATGTGTGTCGAAATACAATAACAACAGATCCTCTCGGCCCATGCTTGTTCTTTCTCGTTCGATGTTTATCTGAAAAAACAAGAATTTGTTTATTGTACCATCATGATTTTAGAAATTATGATGATAGTGGTAAACCACAATTAATAATTTTTAAAGAATTCTTGGTGATGATTTGTAATCGTTTGAAAAAATATCTTCATATCCCATCATTAATACCAAATCATCCATCAGAAAATCCAGGTGTTAAGGAATGTTTATTAGCAATAGGTGGTGGTCAAATTAATGAAGCCGAACGTATAAAAAGATCATTTTCTTTTTTATTGAATCATAATAAAAAAGCAAACAAAAACATCTGTTTCAATGAACCAGATCTTGATCACTTATATAAACAATTGTTCAACAACACCATCATCTTTTTGTCAATAACCAAAAATTTAGATGAAGCCGAGGAAGATCCAGGTTTGTCTCTAAATATATTTTTAAAATAAATATTTGTCTTATTTATATTAATTTATAGAACATAATACTGGTGAAAAACTTGATTATGCATATTTAGACTTTCAATACTCATGTCCAACAAATCGTTTAACAATGGAAATTGTCTGGGAAGTAGGTGACGCAACATTAAATTTAGCAGAAATCAATGCTGAATTAACAAATCCACCACGATCTAGTAGTCATTATCAATGGAATATAAATGAACAAGAAATTGAAGATTTTAGATCTGTTGGAACATTACCAGAACTCCCATGTCTCCACTTTTTTAACAACTGCGTCGCAGTTACGCCTAGAGCCAATTCTGTGTCGCAGTTGAGCGCCACTGCGATCGACTGCGACGCAGTTACGCGTAGATGCGAAAAAAATATCGTAGTTGCGCGCAGTTACCGTAAAAAATTCGCAGTTACGCGTAGCTGCGTCGCAATTTTCCGCAATTACGGGTCATAGTGCGATCGCAGTTACGCGTAACTGCGTCGCAGTTTGATCGCAGTCGAACATATGGGCTTGAAAGACTTAATGAAATTCGATCAATGATTCCATCGAATGCATTGTATATTAAGTGAGTAACTTAGAATTTCTGTTAGAACATGTATAAAATTTTTCAATTTATCTTATTCATAGTGCTAAAGTTGGTATTAATGGATTCAGTCGTATTGGTCAACTTATATTTCGATGTGCAATTGAACAAGGTGTTGAAGTTGTTGCTATTAATGGTTCGTATTTGATTTATTTATTCATAATTTTTATAAAATATATCATTCTAGATCCATTTATTCCTGTTGATTATATGGCTTATTTGGTTCAATATATGATTCAACATATGGTAAATTTAAAGGTAATGTTTCACATCGAAACAACAAACTTATTGTTAATGGACAAATAATCAATGCTTTTTCTAAGTAAATATTTTAAATTAATAAATTTTAATATGTCATTTTATTTTTAGAAAAGATCCATCAAAAATTCCATGGGATCAAGTTGGTATGTTTTTTTTTTCTTTCTTTCATGATCTTAAATCGTAAGCAATTAATTGATTTGTTTTTTTTTGTTGAATCAACTGGTGTATTTACAACAATTGATCAATGTCAATCACATTTACAAGCTGGTGCTAAAAAGTTATTATTACAGTATCATCAGCTGATGTTCCAATGTTTGTTACGGGTGTTAACGAATATAAATATACAGGAAAAGAAACAGTTATTTCAACTGCATCATGTACAACAAATTGTTTAGCACCACTTGCTAAAATTATTCATGAAAAATTTGGTGTTATTGAAGATTTAATGACAACTGTTCATTCATATACTAATACACAAAAAATTGTTGATGATCCATCATATGAAGTATTTAATTAAATTAATCAAAAAAGATATTTTTTTAATTTGTATAGAATTGGCGAGCTGGACGTGGACCTATACAAAATATAATTCCATCATCAACTGATGCTGTTGAAGCTGTATATTTATGTATTTTGTTTTTTTTTGAATAAATAAGAAAATTGATTTGTATTTTATTAGATTGGAAAAATTATTCCTGATTTAAATGGAAAATTAACTGGTATGACTTTTCGTGTTCCAGCACCATATGTTTCAGTTATTGATATTAATGTTCGATTAAACAAAGGAGTAAGTCTTATATTTATTTTTCGATTTAATTTAAATTTATTTATTTTTTTTTTAGGCTAAATATGAAGAAATATGTGCAGTAATAAAAGAAGCTGCTAATGGATCATTAAAAGATATTTTGGCTTATGCTGAAGATAAAGTTGTTTCAACAGATTTTCTTGGTAAAACATATTCATCAATTTTTGATGCTAAAGCTAGTATTTCACTCAATGATAATTTTTATCAAACTTGTTTCATGGTATGTTTTTTGTTTTTTATTTAAATAATATTTTTATTTAATTCTATTTCTAGGTATGACAATGAATATGGCTATTCACATCGTCTTGTTGATTTGATTAAATATATTGCAGAAAAAGATTATGAAATTGAATTGAAGCTTGAATCAACTTTCTAATGATTATGCTACTGGATTTTGACTTTTATTTTCTATTGAACATTTATTTAAGAAAAAAACAAAAGAGTTCTTTTTATTAAAAAAATTTTGACTTTTATTTTATATTGTTATTTTCATTTACCTTGTAAAAATAAAAAGATAGATTTTTTTTTTCTTCAAATAAATTAAGATATATGTTTATTCTACTGGATTAAATACCATCGACAATGCTTATTAATTGAAATTTTGTGTGATTTTATAATAGAATTTATATTGAAACCGAAAATAAATATCTATGAAAATATTATTATAGCCTGTTGTACTGATTTGGAGATAAGTAGTAAAATAACGATTTTTCATTTATTTATTATCTATTGTGTATCGTTGAATGTATACGATAAATTGTTACACATAGTGTGTGTACCTTTATACTTTGATAATATCATGATGCATTTAACATGTGTGTCGATTCACGCTAATCAAGCTGACAAGCGTAATATGAAATGTATCAAACCTATACAAGCTGGTCTGAAATTATACTTCTTTATTATATCTCGTTTTGTGAAAAAGCTTTTGATCCTTTTTCTAAAACTTTTCAACTGGAAAAGTTAACAATGTAAGATAGAAATGATTTTGCTAATTTCTTTTTACTGTAATCGATGTTAACTTTTTTTTAATATTTTCAAATGATAATATTTATTTATATGGATTAAACTTTTGATAAGAATAAACCTTTCCGGAATTTTTACTTTATTTCAAATAAAGTTTTAGATTGAAATTGTTAGTGAATTTAACATAGAAAAAATAGTAATGATTATCTTAAATTACTGTACTATGACAATTAACTCTCCTCATACAGGTTTATTCTAAGTAAAAATAGAGAAGAAAAAGACTAGAAACAAATATTATGATAATCAATTCAAAAGACAAAAAACAACCTTTTAACCGTATAGAATATGTCATAATGTCAGATGGAATATATGAAGTTTTTTTTATAACATAGTATGTTATTTGATTTCATAGTATAAGTCATGTATTTATTTTGCTCATCTCAACTCTAATAATCATTATTATTGAACAATTTCACAGAGAATATGAGTTAATACGTCTACTGACAAAATATTATTTATGAACTAACAAGGGTTAAAGACGAATCACGATGCATCATACAAATAAGGATTAAAAAATTGATGCATTTATTTCATAAAAAACAATGATGTAGAATTCTTTAGAAGAAATATGAAAATATTGATGTTTTTCAAGTGTATTTATTTTAATACGTCTAAAGAGACTTACAAAGGAAATATTATAGTATAAATGTTGTGATTTATTCGAAATTATATTTCATATTTTACTAAAACTAGAATAATTTTAGTTTACGATTTATTACAGATTATAGGATTGGGATAAAAGTGTGCTGGAAAAATATCGAAAGAAAAAATCTAGAAGAGGAGAAATGTCGAAAAGTAAATATGGAAGTAGAAGAATATTGTAACAGAAAAATATCGAAAAAGATTATGTATCCAATAAATTGTGACTCTAATCATGTATAATTCACTGTTGTTTTTCTCATAGTTGTGATAGTATAAAAGTTTAAGCAATCGTGATTTTGACGACTACTACCTGATAAAAATTAAATAAGAAAGTTAAGCGAAGAACTATTATATTAACTAAAATTCTATTGTCACGAGTAAAACTGGTACATCTTAAAGTGACGTAACCCGATTAGTATCTCTAGCTTTTCATTTATAGATTGAAATAAAGAAAAATCTTTACTCGTAGAAGATGACTATGTTTTCAAACTGAATAAAACAACAATCCATAGTTGCTATGCAGAAAAAATAATAAATCAATTTTTTTCATTATCTGTTTTTGTAACTGTTATAATATTAACACTAACTCATATTATATAACATGTTTCTCACTATACACAACTCTTCAAAATATTATATCAACCATTTTTCTGTCGATATTATTTTTTCGACATTTTTCCTCTTCTATATTTTTACGGTCAACCTTCTATTCAATGTTTTCGATGTTTCTCAGAGCCTATTCGTATGAAAAGTAAAAAAGAAGGAAAAGAAGGATTTTACGAGAAAAGAAGGACGTTCTAAAAAAAAGAAGGAAAGAAGGACCGCTGGGAGGCCTGCATTTGGATTATTCCAAGTAAAAAAAATTCATGATATGCCAATATTTTGATCGTTTTATCGAATCAAAAATTTGAAATTATTTTCGTTGTTTGTCTTTTTTAAAATAATATTATTTCATACATTAATAGATATATTTTGTATCATTTTTGTGTACTCAAAAAGTGAGTACACTCTAGAATCGGTCAGTGTGTCCGGCCGTCCGTCCGGCCGTTAACACGATAACTTTTGAAAGGAGAGTCCAATCGCGAT